CTTATGGGCATTGTGTATTTAGCCTTCTAAGAAACTGCCAAAGTTTTCCAAAGTAGTTTCCCATTTTGCATTCCTACCAGTGATATATGAGAGTTCATTGCTCACCAGAACTCTGAAAAATCTTCAGTAATTCTAATAGGTATGAAATGGTATCTCATTGTGGTTTTAATTTGTATTTCTTTAAATAACTACTGAAAGTGAGCATCTTGATATGTGTTATTTTGTCACCCTGGTCTCTTATTTGGTGAAGCATCATTTTTTTCAAATTTAAATATTTATTCATCACGTATAAGGAATATTGTATTACATACTGAAGATGAATAAGTCTGAAGGACATCATGGTCTACTGGAGATAGGTATTTAGATAAATAATTGGAATATGATATGATAAAAATATGGCCCAAGCTTGACATACAGAATCACATATGCATGAAGATAAGTAGACTTACTCTGCAACATAAGAACAACATAAGCAAAATAAACAATGCAGTTGGATCATTTTTAAATGAAATTTTTCACTTTAGAGAATTTAGATAATATAAATACAAAAGAGAAAAGTCACTATTAACATTTTGACTTGTGTATTCCACTCTTTGTGAGTATTTTTTGTTAATTTACCAAATGGGATCATACTACATCTATTTTTCTCCTTAAGCAGCTTTCTATGGTATTAAATATTTTCCTACAATGTCATTTTAATAGTTGCAAAGGATGCAATCATGTGTACATTCAAACATTTTTAAAACCAATCTATTATATTTCAGCTGTTTCCAAGTTTTTATACTTATGAACGATGCTCTATTGAACATCCTTGCAGTTGCACTCTTGAACAAAGTTTTCTTTAAGATAATTTTTTTGCAGGGAAATTTCTGGGTCAAAAGATATAAGTATTTCTGAATTTTTAGTGGGTATTATCAGATTTTCCAGTAAAGTGGTATAAATTCATATCTACCATCAGCATAACAAAGATGAACACTGTGGGTAATGTTTTTAAAATTAAAACAAATTCCGATTTCCTTGTAAGATTTTTTTTAAAGATTTATTTATTTATTTTAGAGAGAGAGCATGAGTGGGAGGGGTAGAGATAGAAGGAGAGAAAATCTCAAGCGACTCCACGCTCACTGCGGAGCCCATCACGGGGCTCTATCTCATGGTCCTGAAATCATGACTTGAGCCGAAACTATGAGTTGGACACTTAACCAACTAAGCCACCCAGGCATCCTCAAATTCTGATTTTAAGTTGCATTTATTTGATTACTAGGAAGTTGAATATCTTTTCTGATGTGCATTTCCTATTTCTATGAATTATATCATGAATTTCTCCTTATGTCCTTGGTCTATATCTCTAGCTAAATGTTCATCTCAATTATTTGTAAGAAGTTTTTTTTTTTCTTTTAGTGATCTACCGTAATGCAAATGTGTTTTCTCTTGTCATTTGCTTCTTTTCATTTTGTTCCTAATATTTTCTTCATTAAAGTTTTAACTTTATATGTTTTAACTTATCAACATTTCCTTATAGATCTATATCAGAATTCAACCTTGTCAAGTCCTCTTTCACTCTATGATTAGTTGAATATTTATCTTTTACATTTAAATAAATGGAGCATTTGGAATTTATTTGGATATGTCACAAAGAATAAGGATTTAACTTTTTTCCCCAAATGATGAGCCAGTTGTCCCAGCTCTACTTATTGATAATGGATCTTAGATCTTTTTCTCAGCATTTTGAATCATATATCAAGTTCATTATATACTTAGGTATGTTTCTGAACTTATCATTGTGTACCAAAAAATTTCCTGTCTTTTCTGAAAATGAAAATGCACAGTGCCACACTATTTTAATTACTATAGTTTTATAATATGTTCTAATATCTAATATCTAGGACAACCACCTCTGTGTCCTTCACACTGTTTATAATACTTCCAAAAAATGTTCTAGACTATTCTCAGATCTTAATGTTCTGGGTGTACTTAAAATTATATTTGAGTTTTAAAATATCCAATTGGGACATTTATTGAAATTTCATTAAATTTATAGATTAATATGAGAAAAATTTGCATCTTTATAATAATCAGCCTTATCACTGAAGGACATGCCAGGTCTCACCATTTACTAAAGTTTTCATTTATGTTCTTCAGTAAAGTTTTATAGTTATTTTATTTATTGTATTTTAATTCCAATATAGTTAACATACAGTGTAATATTAGTATCAGGTGTAGAATTTAGTGATTCATCACTTATGTACAACATCTGGTGCTCAACACAAGTGCCCTCCTTAATACCCATTACCTATTTAACCCATCCCTGCACCCTCCTCCCCTCTGGTAACCATCAATTTGTTCTCTATAGTTAAGAGTTTATTTCTTGGTTTGTTTCTTTTTCCTCATTTGTTGTTTCTTAAATTACACATATGAGTGAAAGCATATGGTAGTTGTCTTTCTCTGATTGACTTATTTCACTTATTGACTTATTGTACTTTCTAGCTCCATCCAGGTCATTGCAAATGGCGAGTTCATTCTTTTTTATGGCTGAGTAATATTCCTGTGTGTGTGTGTGTGTGTGTGTGTGTGTGTACCACATCTTCTTTATCCATTCATCTATTGATGGACACTTGGGCTGCTTCCGTAATTTGGCTATTGTAAATAATGCTGCTGTAAACATAGAGGTACATATATGCCTTTGAATTAGTGTTTTTGTATTTGGGGGGTAAATACCCAGTAGCATGATTCCTGGATCATAAGATAGTTCTATTTTTAACTTTTTGAGGAACCTCCATACTGTTTTCCACAGTGGCTGCACCAGTTTGCATTCCCACCAACAGTGCAAGGGGTTCCTTTTTCTCCACATCCTCACCAACGACTTGTTTCTTGTGTTGTTGATTTTAGTCATTCTGACAGGTTTGAGGTGATATCTCATTGTAGTTTTGATTTGCATTTCCCTTATGATGAGTTATGTTGAGCCACTTTTCATGTGTTTGTTGGCCATCTGGATGTCTTTGGAGAAATGTCTATTCATTTCTTCTGCCCATTTTTTAATTGGATTCTTTGTTTTTGGGTGTTGATTTGTATAAATTCTTTATATATTTTGTAAATCCTTTATTGGATATGTCATTTGAGGATATCTTCTCCCATTCCATAGGTTACCTTTTATTTATTTATTTATTTATTTATTTATTTATTTATTTATTTATTTAAATATTTTATTTATTTGACAGAGAGAGACACAGCGAGAGAGGGAACACAAGCAGGAGGAGTGGGAGAGGGAGAAGCAGGGTTCCTGCCGAGCAGGGAGCCCAATGTGGGGCTCAATCCCAGGACCCTGGGATCATAACCTGAGCCAAAGGCAGACGCTTAATGACTGAGCCACCCAGGCGCCCCTAGGTTGCCTTTTAGTTTTGTTTGTTGTTTCCTTCTCTGTGCAGAAGCTTTTTATTTTGATGTAGTCCAAATAGTTTATTTTTGCTTTTATTTCTCTTGCCTAAGGAGACATATCTAGAAAAATTTTGCTAGACATATCTAGAAAATTATAGTTATTTTAAATAGGTTTGGGGCGCCTGGGTGGCTCATTTGGTTAAGCATCTGCCTTTGTCTCAGATCATGATCCCAGGGGCCTAGGATCAAGCCCTGCATGCTTCTCCCCTGCCCCTCCCCCTGCTCATGCTTTCTCTCTCTCTCTCTCTCAGATAAATAAAATCTTACATACATACATACATACATAAATAAATAAATAAATAAATAAATAAATAAATAAATAGGTTCTGCAAGTTTTGCTTCATCCAAGGTATTATATCGTTGTTCTTGTTATTACTACTGGCATCTATTTTTCCATTATATTTTCCAACTGGTTGCTACTTTTCTATAGCATTCTGAATAGAATTATTATAATAATAAATTATTATTCAGTAATAGACAAAATTGTCTAATTAGTTCCAATAGTACTTTTTATTTTGGTTTAAAAACTCATAAGATAAAATTTACAATTTTAACTATTTTAAGTGTATAATACAGCAGTGTTAATTATATGCATATTGTTGTGCAACATCCATAGAACTCTCGCCTTGCAAAACTGAAACTCTATATCCATCGAATAACAACTCCCTTTTCCCCTCTCCCAGCCCCTGACTTGTAATTTCTCTTTCTATTGGTTTGACTACTTTAGATGCTTCGTGTAAGTGGGAGAGCACAGTTTTTATCTTTTCCTAACTGGCTTATTTCACTTAGCATAATGTTCTAAGGTTCATCTGTGCTGAAACATGTAACAGGATTTCCTTGTCTTTATTTTCTTGAGTTTTCCATATGGCCAGTTATATAATCTATAAATAATTACAACTTTCTCTACTTTTTCGATTTTTTATTTCATTTCTTCATCTGGTATTTTACTATTTAGAAGAATCTTGCTGAGAATTTCAGGTAATTCCTCATAATGTTATATGTTAGTAGCATAGTAAGTTACATTATTACTTTTTTGTTTATTGAGGTTTTTTAAAATCAGGAATGGATGTTAATAGGTTATTTTATGTTGAATCATTTTTGAAATTTTAAAATAAACCGTATTTGGGTATGTTACATCACTCTTTTAAAAATATGCTCAAATAGGGGTGCCTGGGTGGCTCAGTCAATTAAACATCACACTTGATTTCAGCTCAGGTCATGATTTCAGGGTTGTGATATTGAGCCCCATGTCAGGCTCCATGCTGGGCATGGAAGCTGCTTAAGATTCTCTTTCTCCCTCTCCCTTTGTCCTCCCCCCATGTATATATTTCCTACAGTGTCATTTTAATAGTTGCAAAGGATGTAATCGTACAATTGTGTGTACATTCAAACATTTTTAAAATTCACCCTTTGTAGATGTATAGTTAAATGAGTTTTGTGATATGTAACGACCAACCACTCAAGATATAAAATAGTCTGATTATCCCCAAAATGTTACCTCATGCTAACCCCTGGCAATTCTGACCCTGTTGCTTATAGTTTTGTTTTTTAAAAAAATATATCATATAGTGCTTGTTTGGACAGCACATATACCAAAATTGGAATGACACAGAAAAGATTAGCTTAGCCCCTGAGCAAGGATGACACACAAATTTGCAAAAAATTTCATATTGTTTTAAAAAGACTATAAATATTAAAGGGGACTCTTCGAGTGGAAAGACCAAAAGTGATAAAGACAAGAAAGAAACAGAAAATCTCCAGAAACAACAATGAAACAAGTAATAAAATATCATATACATGGAACCATACAGCATGTAGCCTTTATGTGTGACTTCTTTGACTTGGCACAATGCTTTTGAGGTTCATCATGTTATTACATGTATCAGTAATTCATTCATTTTCATTTCTGAGTAGTATTTTTCATTGTTGAGTGGTTGGATTTAACAAACTTTGTTTATTCATATTCACCAGTTGATAAACATGAGTTATTTCTGATTTTTAGTGATTATGAATGAAGTTGCCAGCTACAATCACCTATAGGTTTTATTTGTATGTATGTCTTCCTTGCTCTTGGGTAAATAGCTAGGAGTGGAATTGCTGGGTCATATGGTAGGCACAAATTTTACCTTTATATGAAGCTGTCAAATTGTTTTCCAAAGTGACTACACTGTTGTATATATTCACCAACAATGTATGAGAGTTCCATTTGCTCCACATCCTCACTTGCACTTCCTACTGTCAGCTTTGTTTTCTTTTTCCTTTTTTTTTTAAAGATTTTTTTTTTTTTAATTTACTTGACAGAAAGCTAGAGCACAAATAGGCAGAGAGGCAGGTAGAGGGAGAGGGAGAAGCAGGCTTCCCGCCGAGCAGGGAGCCCGATGCGGGACTCGATCCCAGGACCCTGGGATCATGACCTGAGCCGAAGGCAGACGCTTAAGCAACTGAGCCACCCAGGTGCCCCATGCTTTGTTTTCTCTTAGCCATTTTAACAAGTGGCATCTTATTGTGGTTTTAATTTGCATTTCTCTCGTAATTAATGATGTTAGCATGTTTACATGTGCTTATTGGTCATTCAGATCTCTTCTTTGGTGATGTGTATGTTCAAATAGTTTGCTAATCAAAATTTTTTTCTTATTGAGTTATAAAGATTTCTTTAGACATTCTGAATATAAGTACTTTATCAATTTTTTTGCAAATATTTTCTCTCTGTGGTTTGATTTTGTTTCTTAGAAATGTCTTAACAGAAATTTAAAATTTTTATTAAGCCCATTTAGTCAGTTTTTTTCTACTATGATTCATAGTTTTTGTCTTAAATTTTAAAAACATTTGCTTAATATAAAATCATAAAGATATTTTCTCATGTTTTATTCTGGGAATGTTATAGTTTTAGGCTTTACATTTAGGTCTGTGACCATTTTGGGTTAACTTTTGTTTATGTGGTGAATAAAAATTGAGATTTTATTTAATTTTAATTTTTTTGGCATATAAATGTTCCATTTTTCCAGCACCATTTACTGAAAAGACTACACTTTGTCTACTCCATTAAATGGACAGCTTTGTCAAAAATCAGTTGATTATACCTGTGGCAAATTTGTAGACCCTCTATTCTGTTTTATTGATCTACATAACAATATTTACTTGACTATCTCACTGTCTTTATTAGTGTAGCATTATAGTAAGTCTTTTTTTAAAGTATAATTGATACACAATGTTACATTAGTTTCAGGTGTACAACATAGTGATTTAACAAGTTTATACATTATGTTCACCTCAAGGGTTGTTACCATCTGTCCCATTGCATCCTTATTACAGTATCATTGACTGTGTTCCTTATACTGTGCCTTCTAGTCCTGTGACTTATTTATTCCATAACACGAAGGGCTGTATCTACCTCACCCTTCACCTATTTTGCCCACTCTCCCACGCCCCCTCTTCCCTCTGGTAGCCATCAGATTGTTCTCTGTATTTATAGGTCTGATTCTGCTTTTTGTTGTTGTTTATTCATTTGTTTACTTGTTTTTAGATCCCACTTATGAATGGAATCACATAGTATTTGTCTTTCTCAGTCTGATTAATTTCACTTAGCATAATACCCTTTAGGTCCATCCATGTTGTTTCCAAATGGCGCAATCTCATCCTTTTTATGGTTGCATAATATTCCATTGTTTATATATACCATCTTTTCCTTTTCCATTCGTCTATTGATGGACACTTAGGATGCTTCCATATCTTGGCTGTGTAAATAATGCTGCAATAAATAAGGGTTTGCATTTATCTTTTCAAATTAGTGTTTTCATTTTCTTTGGGTAAATACCCAATAGTGGAATTATTGGATCATATGGTACTTCTATTTTTAATATTTTGAGGAACCGCCATACTCTTTTTTACAGTGGCTGTACCAATTTACATTCCTACCAACAGTGCATGAGGGTTCCTTGAAATTAGTTGATGTTCTGATTTTTCAAAGTTGTTTTGACTATTTTAGAAACCAGATTTTCTTTTTTTTTTTTTTTAAGATTTTATATATTTATTTGCTAGAGAGAGAGAGAGTGAGAGTACAAGCAGGGGGAGCGGCAGGCAGAGGTAGAAGCAGGCTCCCCATCGAGTAAGGAGCCCGATGTGGGACTCGATCCCAAGACTCTGGGATCAGGTTAGGTACCAGATTTTCTATGTTAATTTTGTAATAAGCTTTTGATTTGTAATTTGTGTAAAGTATCCTAGTGGGATTTTGATTGAGATTGATTTAAATACAAAGATCACTTTGAGCAGAGTTGACATCTTCCCAGTATTGAGTCTTACAATCCATAAATATGGCATATCTATTTATGTAGGTATTTAATTTCTCTCATCAGTGTTTTATAGTTTTCAGCACATAAATCTTGCACATATTTGGTTAGGTTTATTTCATGTTTTTTTTCATGTTTTTTGGTGCTATTGCAAATGGCATTTAAAAATTTAATTTCTGATTGTTCATTGCTAGTAGATAGATGTAATTGATTTTTTATATTGACTTGCATATTGCAACCTTGCTAAACTCACTTATTACTTCTAGGACCATTAAAAATAGATTATGTGGATTTTCTACTTAGATGATCATATTGTCTGCAAATAAAGAGATTTCTTTCTTTCTTTCCAATTGTTTTATTTCTTTTCCTTGCATCTTTGCACTGGTTACAATCGCCAGTGTAATGTCGAGTAAGAGTAGTAAGAGCAAACCTCCTTGCCTCCTTGATTTTAGTGAGAAGAGCACTCCATTTCTTTCCACTAAGTATAATGTTAGTATAATGGGGCCTTTATAAGCTTGAGGAAGTACCTTTCCATTCCTAGCTTGCTGAAAATGTTATCATATCATGAATGGATGTTGGGTTTTGTCAAATACTTCTTTTTTTTGCATCTGTTGATATGAGCACAGAGCATTTTGTTTTTAGTTCACTGACATGACTGGTTAACTTTCAAATATTGAATTAACCTTGCATTTTGGGGATAAACTCTATTTGATCATGATGTATAATCTTTTATATTTAGGGATTCAATTTGACAGAATTTTATTAAGGATTTTTGTTTAGCATTCATGAGATTCTTTTCCTATAATGTCTTTCTCTGGGTTTGCTATCAGGATAATGCTGGCCTCATAAAATGACTCAGGAAATGTTTTCTTCTCTTCTATTTTATGTAAGTGTATGAAATCAGCATATTTCTTCCTTAAATGTTTGATAGAATTCACCAGCGAACACATCTAGGCCTGAAGTATTGTTTATGGCAAAGTTTGGATAACAGATTCATTTGCTTTAATAAATAAAGGGCAGGGGTTCCTGGCTGGCTCAGGCGGTAGAGCATATGACTCTTGGTCTTGGGGTTGTGAGTTTAAGCCCCATGTTGGGCATGGAGCCAACTTAAGAAAGAAATTAACAAATAAAAAATTAAAAAGATTTAAAATGACACTTTTAAAACATAGTTATGTGCCTTCTATGAGCAAGACACTGTAGAGCTGTGGGGGGCACCAAAAGAATATAATCTAGGATCTCCTATAAGCTGGAGAATATCGTGCCTGAATGTTCAGAAAATAATAAAGGACAATTAAAATTATCTATTTCTTCTTGAGTAGTTTTTATCTTTCAAGGAATTTGTCTATTTCTCCTAAGTTATCAATTCACTGGCATAAAGATGTTTATAATATTATCTTATTATCCTTTTAGTCTCTGTAGGGTCTATATTGATGTCGTCTCTTTCATTGCTAATATTGGTAATTCGTGTATTCCCTCTTTTTTGTTTCTTGATCAACATGGCTAGAAGTTTATCCATTTTATTGATCTTTTCAAAGGATAACTTTTAACTTTATAGATTTGTCTCTGTTTTTTTTTAAATTTTATTGATTTCTGCCCTTATTTTTATTATGTCCTTCCCTTTGCTTGCTTTGGTTTTAATTTGATCTCTTCTTTCAAATTTCATAAATGGAAACTTAGATTATTGATTAAAGAACTTACTTGGTTTCCAATATAAACATTTAATGCTATATATTTTCCTCTTGGCTACATCAATATTTAGTTTTTAATGTGAAAAATGAACTTGCTTCATGCTTAGGTTGAATTGACAGCTTTCTAAATGTTTAATGACAGTGTCTGCATTTCTTATCATGGATTGGTCATAAACATTTTGGTCAGCAGGTCACATTTGAGTGTCTCTGCTTTAGATCATGGGACCTGGGTTCTAATCCAGGTTTGCTCACCACAAGAATTAAGAAGTGAGGGCTGGAAGGAGAGTATAGTACCTATGACCTGTGGGCCAGCCAACCAGGAAGAGAAAAGGACAGGCCTTGTGGAAACAGCAACATTTAATGCCCTACATCACCCAGGAGAGAGAAGTGGCTCCAAGGAATCTAGCACTCTCCCACCTTAGGGAGTAGTCATTAGGAGGAAGGGCTGTCATTCTAACATCCAGAAGAAAGTAGAAATTCTGGTTCTACGAACCTATATAAATAAGGAGAAAGAAAGACAATGATTCTACTCTCCTTCTCACTCTCCTATTACCATCCACTTTCCTGATTCACTCACCTTAGAAATAAACTACATTCGATCGTTTCCTTTTTTTTATTATTTAAATTAAATTTGCCATCATATAGTACATCATTAGTTTTTGATATAATGTTTGGTGATTCATCAGTTCAGTGTAACACCC